TTTGGCCGGGCGAGGCGGTTGGGGGGCAGAGTGGTCAGCCCGGCGCTGGCGCTGCCCATCCCTCCGCTCAGCGCTGGCTCTAAACCTGCCAGGAGAGGAGGAGAGAAGAGGAGAGGTTCACCCCAGCACCGATTCCTGCCTTCCCGCCCAGCGGCCAGGCACAAAGGGAGGAACTAAGCCTGTTAGAGGGGAAAAAACCTCCAAAGAGACCCACGGCGCCCTGCGAGCTCCTGGATGAATGCAGGCTGGGGGGCTGGGGGGGCGCCTGTCCTGATTTTGGGAGGACCAGCTGCACCAGGCGGCAGGGAGAAGAAGCCCAGGTCCTGACCACTACGGGCTTTTTGGGTCTTCCCATGAGTTGCACACCAGGTTGGCAGCAGTTCAGCCCCAGCTGGTGCTGAGCACCCTTGCAGGAGGCAGCGGGGTGCACTGGAGGGGCTCCAGGGCACCTGCACGGGGCAGCCCGTGGGCATCAAAGGATATTTATACAGGCACGTTTCTGTGCATGGAAAACATCACCTCCTGCTTTCACCCAAGGGTGCCCCTGCACAACAGCACCCAAACCCAGCTCTCCCAAGCCAGGGACCGAGCCCAGCACCACAGCACCCGGCTCTTGGCCGCTGCTGCCAACCCCGTGGATGAGAACTTTTCTTTTACTCTTTTGCAAGAAAAACTACCCAAATTCGGCCTGTCCCCATCTGTCTCCAGTAAGCGGGGAGTCCTGGAGGCCGTGGAGAAGAGGATGAGCCTGCTGAATTTCCATGGCAACACCAGGGAACGGCTCCATCCGTGGAGAAACCTCCCCAAGAGCCATCCTGAGGCTTTGGGAAGAGAAAGCCCCTGCCAGGGGAGAGGCTGGCGATGGGCACGGCCAGGGCACTGCCGAGCTCCTTGCCTGCCTCCAGCATTGCTTTATACAAGAAAAGAAAAAAAAAAAAAAGCCACCCCAAAGTGGCGATTTCAAAGCAGAAAAAGCTTTTGCAACGGAGCCTGCAATAAAAAAAGGCGCGTGCAAAGCCTGAACCAACCCCAAACCCTGCGAAGGAAACCAGGCAGCCCCCAAAGGGGAACGGGGGACAGCGGCCAGGGAAAGGGGGTGCCCTCTCTGCTCTAAATCCCAGCTGGGACGGGAGGGGAAGAAAAAGGTTTAAAAGACTAAAGAGGGAAAAGACCATCAGGTTCCTGCAGGCAGAGCACATCCCTCAAGCGTGGCTGCTGGGCGTAGGAGGGACGCTGGTGACCGAGCACCCAGGACGGCGCGTCACCGTCCCCGCAGCCCTGCCGTGCCAAACGCTGCTCAGCTCCACGCTGCTGGGCCCAGCTCCGCTCCCGGTGGCGTGGCAGGTCATTAAATGTCGTTAATAGCCACACGCTGCGGCCCCGTTCACCACAGCGGTACTGATTGGGGGCCACTTGCCACATCCCGCTCTCAGGGATGAGTTAATGCAGTCGGTGAGGATTTTAATGCCCCCAGAAGGATGGGGCATCACCTGCACCACGAAGAAGCTCTGCCCATCATTTCACCCTTGGGAAAGCCCCAAAAGCTTGGAAAAACGCTTGGAGGAGCCGTGGCCACCTAAAGAGCGCCCGTGCCAGCCTGTCCTCGTGGGGACCCAGGGAGGGGTTGAGGGTTTGGGAGCTGGAGCCCACTTTCCCGAAGGGTTTCGGTGGCATCGCAGTGAGGAGGAGGAGGGAGAAGGGGTGCCGGTGCCACTGAGCTGCCCCCTCTGCCCAAACAGTTTCCCCGAGAGATGGTTCGGGTTTCCAAACCTCTCCTTGATTTGCTCTGGATTAAAAGAAGAGCTTTAGGAGATCAGCCCTAAATCCAGCCCCAAATCCAGCCCCACGCTGCTCCCAGCACAAAAGGCAAGTGGTAACAGCTTGCGCGGCTCCAGCCCGCTGCCCAGTGCCGGCTGCGGGGGCTTTCTGGGGAGGGGACAGGGGTCTCGTCCCCAGTGCCTCCAGGATGCTCCGGCATCATGGTGCATCCTCCACCCATCCCACCTCTGCCGGGCTTCACTCCCAAAGCCATAAGCCAGACACATGGAGGAGAAGGGTTGTGGAGCCAACCCTGGGCAAGTGGTGGGATGGACGGCCCCATCCCCATCCCCATCCACATCCCCATCCCATCGCCCTCCTCCTGGCTGGGACCAGTAGGACCCAATCCCTTAAGCAAATGGCCCCAAAAGCCTGAGCAATCACCCGCCAAACGGTGCTGTACTCTCAGGGCGGGGGCCTTTGTTTGACTTTCTCCCGCTCTGGCACGCAGGTGGCCGGGCTGGGTGGGGACCTGTTTGCTCTAAGAAGCCACTTTGGGCGGCCGTTTCCCTCTCCTCTCCCCTTTTGCATTTCCCTGGAAAAACAGAGCTGGAGGGGCAGCCCCGGGTGCACCGAGATGCTCACAGGGAGCTCTGACACCCCACGGCACCCCAAAAACCTTCACATTCCCCGCCTGAGCTAAAGGAGGCTGCGCTGGTGATTGCATCAGCCCTGGCAAATGCTCCCCGGCTTGTGCACGCTGCCGGCGGTGAGCACGGCACCGGTCCCGGGGGCTTCACACCGGAGCGAAGCCGCACCAAGGCAGCCTCGTACTTACCCTGCTGCTCCGGGCAAGAGGGGAATCGATCAGGGAATTGGTTCTTCCAACACTTTCAATAGCTGCCACCCAGTTATAAAAGCCCACCAGGCCCCCAAGGTTTTGTCTTCATGGGCACACGGGGGTCAAGGCGCGGTGCCGGGGGGCTCAGCAGCCCGTGAGGAGGCTCCGAGTGAGAGTGGTGCCACCCCTGGGTGCCAGGCAGAGTGGGGTGCTGCCTGCAGGGCACCCACCCCAGCACTGGCATCCTCGCCCAGCCCTCCCCACGCGCCGGTGCTGCCTGCAGCCCCGTCACGGGCAGGCAAGGCTCTGGTGCAGAGCGGTGGAGCAGACCCCAAACTGGGATGGAGCCGTTGAGTCCCCTGAGTGTTTCTCCGTGCCCACAACAAATCTCCATCACTGGGGCACAGCCAGGAGGTCCCTGCCATCCCCGAGCCCCGAAACCATGAGTGACCCTACATCACTGCAACCCATGGGTATGGAGGAGACACCCTGGCCAGCTGGGACGGGCACAAGGTGCCCCTGCTCCCCGCTCTCGCCGGCACCGTGGGGATGCTGCAGCAAAGGGCTGCGCCGCCGGCACGAGGGCTCGTTCCCCACGGCAGCGCGGAGCGGGGCGAGGAGGAAAAGGCAGCGTCCACCCCCGAAGGGCAGCGTGACAGCCCGGTCCCCAAAACCGGCTGAGAAAACAAACCCAGATGTTCCCTTCGAGCAAAAAGCCTGGGGCGGCGGGGCTGGGACAGGGCTCCCTGCGCTCCCCGAGGCATGGGGCCAGCGGCAAGCCCAGGGTTTTGGGTGGTGCTGGCTCATGGCTCAGCTCCACAGGGTTGCAGGGACTCAGCCCCATCCGCAGCCCGGGCAAGGAGCGGATGCCGCAGCTGAGGGAGGATGAGGATGGGGACAAGGACCTCCTGTATCACCCCGAGCTCTCCTGGTAAATGCAACGCACCGTCGCTCAGGGTAGGCACATGGGCACCGGTGATGGTGGAGAGCTGGGATCAGCCCTTGGGAGCAAGGGAAAAAAAAAAAAGAAAAGAAAAGAAAAGAAATCCACCCAACCACCACCCTCGAACAATGGGTCCGTTAATTAAAATTAAATCTGCGGTTAAACAGGTTGTGCCGGAGCGCGGCTCAGGAAGCCCCGTGGGACCGGCGGAGGTTGGCCCGCTGTGGGAGGAGGTGCTGCCCGCGGCGCCCAGGAGGTCTCCCAAGTCCCCGGGTGCTTCTGAAAGCCCTTCCTGGGCAGGTGGGCTCGGGAGCAGCCGGGACAGCGGGCTAGGGCCAGGCTCCGGGGCCACCTCCAGCCCCTAGGCTGAGGATGGGGACAGGGATGGGGACGTGCTGTGCTGTCCCGGGAGGAACCAGAGACCTATGGGATCCAGAGGTGTCCCAGACTGCCCAGAGCAGCCCCACGGGCAGTGGGATTTGTCTTTAACCAATCCTTTCACCTTCACCTGCCCCATGTGCCTCAGAACAGCAAGCCAGGACCCCAGGGGTGGGAGAGGACAGGGACCCCCCAGACCCAGCGATCCTCTTTTTGCCCAAAAGTCCATCTGGGGTTGGAATCTGGGTGGGATTTCCACTTTTTTCTGGTCTGACTCAGCACCTCTTGCCCTGGCCGCCTCCCTGGGCTCAGCTCTCCTCCTTGGTCCCCAAAGGGGCCAGCCCGTGCCACGATGCACAAGGCCAACCGCACCAGGGCACGGAGAGGCGATGGAGCCTCTTGGCTTTGCCAGGTGGCTGCCGGCCAGGAGGATTTTTGGGGCCCAGATTAAGCAGGCGAAGGGACCTGGGGTCCCTGCACGAGCCAGGGCTGCAGCAGATACCTGGGTGCTCAGAGGCTGCTGAC